TTTGCTGCATTAACAGACCATGGAAACTCTAAACCCTTATAATTACTTTACTCAGTTTATCCCAACAATGATTGCTTTCTACAAAGAATCTTGATAAATATTATATTAAGATTCTTAAGTATTTCTTAAAAAATAATGAAAAGGTCAGTGGTACAGTCACCCACAGAACATTATGGGCATGTGGTCATAGGAGCACTGCTGCGCAGGTGCCCAAGAGCAAGCCTGCTACACTACAGTGTTTGCCTTGGGTCTTTACCCTTATGAGACTGAAGAAAGCTACAGATGAAGTGGCCCTTAGCGGCAGGCAGAGGGGCCCCATGGGAACACAGCTGAAACATAAAATTGCCAGACCTAGAACTGTTAAATCTCACAAGTATTAAGTTGAGGTACTAAGTAAGTGGCTCCAGGTAATTCTAGAAATATATGCTAAAAATAGATTCTAGGAGACTTACCTGTTTACCTCTACATCTCTCCCCTTCCTATATATTATTCTCTTCACTTTTGCTATTTTTTTTTTCTTTAGACTTTTGAAACTGTGGCAGAACTTTAGTAATTTTGGCTAAGCTTCAAAACTCACTAAAGATCAAAATGCAAACTATAAGGCAGTGACTGCTTAGCGACTAAATTCTAAAATGGTCAATCATGAGAAGAGTGGGAAATGTCATACATATCTTTGCTCTGTCGTATGCAAGGCACAGAGATGCTCATTTAGACATTCACAGTTCATCCTGTGGCAAGAACAGAAGAAAAGGCCACAAACAATGCACCATAGAATCTGCCATCTATAGATAACACTTCTGATAAGCCATCAAGTTAATTTTCTATGACTTTGTTAATTATTTTGAAACATAAAAACATTTTGCTGTGAAATGTGCTAGCTATGGTAATAAATTTCTCATATTTCACAAAGTAAATGTTGACATTTTTTGAACAATTTTTCAATTATCTTTAAAGGCTGTAGGTGTTGTTTTCCTCTATTCTCTGGAGAGACTGGAGAAGAAGTTATGCGAGCCAAGGTAGCCCTCTGTAGCATAGGCTGTCCTCTGATTCATGTACTTCCTGCCTCAGGCTCACAATACTAAGTTTAGAAGCATGGACCAAGACGCCTGACTCTTTTCTGATTTTTGTTTGGATAATGCTTCCAAACAAAAGTGGGAGTTACTGATTTGGAAACAAGTTTCTAAAATGTAAGATAGTGTCATTACCAGGACGTTTTTTTTTTTTTTTCTATGTTCAATGAAAAAAAAAATCACGTCAAAACTGCTTATAAAAACTCATCTGATTGCTTTAATGCCAGTTAGGTGGCAGGAGCCTTCTGCTCTCACAGGTGGCAATAATGCAGTAAACCGGGACAGGATACCTTTGTCCAAAGAACATTGGGTGCCACCTTGTCTCCCACTTTATCACCACCAGTAAACAAGGATAACACCAGCAATGGACTTGGTGCCGCCTCCATGTAACCCTAAGATTTCAGCCCTTTATGCTTGCAAGGCCCCACCAGGCTGCTGAACACTGACTTTGGTGGATCCCACCAATATCAGGATCCAGTTTATGTTTAAAGATTATCCTTTGCTCTCAAGTAGCATTGATGACTCCAGAGCTCTCCTAGACAATCCTGTTTCCTACAGGTTAAACAGAACTCAAGCTTTCCTGTCTCAGGTTTGCTAAGGCTATGGTTACTTAGTATACAACCACAGATAAACTTTTAATTACCTCAATAAGCCTATCCAATCTAGTGAGTATTCCAATAAGTTACTTTGATGGATAAGATCTTCACTTAATTTCAGATGAAGTAGAAATGTTTGGAAATTCAATTAGTTTTGCTACATTTAAATCTGCACATAAATCCTCAGTTTAAGTGGGCAATCCATTTTGCTTAAACTGCATAGACTTATCTCTTAAAGCAATGGTAACATATTAAAATCAGGTTTGCATTTTCATAAATGATTAATTCATAAGAAAACTTTATTTAAACCAAGACAGGCAGAATAGCCCATGCCTTTTTTTTCTTTTCTTTTTTAACTGTTCTCTATTTAAAGCAGTTTCACTTTTATTAAAGGTTATTTATTTCTGTCATGGTTATTAACTAACTGCAACAAATAGATAGGAATTAACTGGAAGGAAGCTGAATCCTTTCACTGTGTGTTCTTGCGTGCACATGTGTGTATGTGTACATGCATAGGTGTGTACTTGCCCACTTATGCGTTGTGACAAGTCCCATTGCCTGTGACTTCTAAATTATTTTACGAGCTACTTTTTCATGTTTCCTCTTTATCAATCTAATAAAATGCCCAGTCGTAGCACGTGTGCTACCTTTTTCACTATTTAGTGTTGTCAGGCATTTTTTTTTTAAAGGAAATAAAGATCCTAATGGAAATTACTTGGAAATAATCATGGCATGAATGAATCTGTAGGCCTTTTAGTTCTACACTGCAGTCCCATTTATAGTCTCTCCTTTTTGTAAAGCTTCAGATAAATCTCTTGACGCAAGAAGAATGCAGATACTGATGGCTGGCAATTGGTTCCTGGTGATTTGCCCTTAATCATTTCCAGTTGCGTTTAATGAAAGTATGGTTCCAGAGAAGCCGCTTCATTAAAATTGCATCTTTCCCCCCCTCTAAGTGTGGTTTCAGTCATTTTGTCCATTTCGTGGTGTATTTCTCTCCTCTAAGAAAGTAATGATCGAGAAGGCAGAAACAATTAGGAGAATCACTTTTGTTCTCCCTGGAGCTCAGCCCACCCCTCCCTATGTCTCTGAGTGGAAGGATAAAGGTGTGCTTCTTTGGGGTTCACAATGCTGTTTTACTGATTGACTAGATTGTTTAAAGGGTCTGTTGCATATACAAAAGAATATATATGCTCTTTGGTATTTTTATTAAACACACACACACAGGGAGAGAGAGAGACAGAGAGACACACACACACACACACAGAGAGAGAGACAGAGACAGAGACAGAGGTTGATTAACTTGTGCAGCATTCAAACTTAATTTCACTGAGTTGGTGACTCGCAAATGAATATCTGCATGGATCCTTTTTAAAATCCAAATGCAAATGAGTACAACTGCAGTAAACTATATTTGCAAATGAATCCTGTTGCTTTATTCATTTATTGTGTAATTACTGCAATCCTTCCCACCTTGTTTTCAGTATTTCTTAATCATTAAGTCTGAAGCATGACAGCGGTGCCAGCCCTGGCATGATTCTCTTTGACTAAAACCTTGTAAATTAACACAATTAGCACAGCATCCTCCTGCTAATTAACTTCCACTGTCTGGTGCAGTGGTTTTGCAAACAAGGAAGAGGGAGTCAGAAGGGAATCAACATGCCATTCTGTTACCAAACTGTGTGCTCTGTTCAGTTTAGCTCCGCGAGTCAACGCTGGCCAAGTCAGAAGCCAGAGTCAGGCGGTGAGGAGCTGGAGTGCTTGGGGGGAGGAGAACAGAGGGGAGAAGAGCTGTCAACACTGCTGGGGGAATTCAGAAGGGAACCAAGAGACGCCACAGACGCTTCTTCGTTTAGACCAAGTCTTCTTATCAAGGATTCCTTGCCAGAGGGCACAAGATGGTTTGCAAAATTCACTTTGGGTAATACAAAAGAGATGAAGGAGGGTATCTTAAAACAGCTGTAGCAGGAAAGGAAGGGTTCGTTCCAAGTGAGCAGAGATTAGAGCTAAGATGAACAAGCACTGAAAAATAGAAGAATGGAGTTCCCGTACTCCTTGGTACCTGACGACATGAAACCCTCAAGGGTACACCTTAAATGAGTCGCTTTTGGCAGTGCTCGTGTAATACTGTGAACCAGGAAACTTCTAAGGCCTTTCAAAAGTTCTAAATTAAAATGACCGTCTGATTCTAATAGCTGAGTATTTTCTCTTGAGTCAGAAAATACCTGTTTCAGGATTACTACGGAGTCCCGGGCTTTAGTTAGCTACCTGTCAGGATATGGAATTACTCCTATGACCTCATTGCTGAGTCGTATTCTTTCTGTTTCTGCCACACATGGCTCACTATAGAAATGTAAGGAGTTAGAGTCCAGTTCTCCACTCTGATCATCCCTTCTTGCCTGTTTTCTTTTTCTCTTTTTCATATACATATATATATGTATATGTATTTCATATACATATATATGTATATGAAATGTATATATATACATTCTTCTCTCCCCACTTGTTACCTTGCAGTCTATAAGGGGAGGAGGATTACCAGAGGAGAAGGGAGAACAACACTAGAAGCCCGACAGACAAGTGATGCTTGTTTTTTTTTTTTTTTTCCAGACTCAACAACAGAACTGAGAGGCAGAAAGGAGCCAGTTGTAATTCATACCGAGTTGTAGGCTTTGTGCGATGAAAGCGCTGGAGCGCTGCCTGGGAGATTGCTTTGCTGCACTCCACGAGGCAGATTTGAAACTGTCGTGGACCACTTTAGATGAGAGTTGGATTATGAAATGACCTGCTATGTCTATGTCATATTGTTCTGTGCAGGGAGCATTATACTGTGCTAACTAGGTGTTCAGTACCAAATAAGAGAGGGATCCCAGATGCGGCCTGTCAGCTGTGTCTCATTTTTATACTGTTAAAATAGAAAACAGAAACCGATGGGGAGAACCAAATAACTAGGCGGCATACATGCTAGCAGTATTGCATGCCAGATATTAAAATGTATGTGTGTGTTATTGCAAGCGACTATGATTGAATTCTAATTGGAAAGTATTATGTGTGTACATAGACATTGTATAAGTGTGTGTGGTTAACAAGTAACTTGATGGGATTGACAGCAATAAGGCTTGCATATATATATACATATACATATGTATATATATTTGGTTTTCTACAGAGTTTTCTAGATATTATAATCTGGGAGGATCCTTGCCGATGTCTATATTATTAAGGGGAGATAATAGATTAATAGATAACAGTTGTAGTCAGGGAGGAAGCTTTAAGAGTTCCGATGAATGTCTAAGTGAATTTACTCTCTTCCCCCCTCCCCCCAAATACTTAGGCTTGAAGATGCAGTGGACGCCGGAGCATGCCCAGTGGCCAGAACAGCACTTTGACATCACCTCAACCACTCGGTCTCCAGCCCACAAAGTTGAAGCCTACAGAGGTCATTTGCAGCGCACCTACCAGTACGCCTGGGCAAATGATGACATATCCGCTCTGACTGCATCCAACCTTCTGAAGAAATATGCAGAGAAGTATTCTGGCATTTTGGAAGGTCCCGTGGACCGACCTGTTCTCAGCAATTATTCAGACACACCATCAGGACTCGTGAATGGTCGGAAAAACGAGAGCGAACCCTGGCAGCCTTCCTTGAATTCAGAAGCCGTTTATCCTATGAACTGTGTTCCGGATGTCATCACTGCTAGCAAAGCTGGTGTCAGTTCAGCCCTCCCTCCGGTAGATGTCTCTGCAAGTATAGGGAGCTCCCCTGGGGTGGCCAGCAACCTGACAGAACCAAGTTACTCAAGTAGTACCTGTGGAAGCCACACAGTACCTAGTCTTCATGCAGGGCTCCCGTCTCAGGAATATGCTCCAGGATACAACGGATCGTATTTACATTCTACGTACAGTAGCCAGCCCACACCTGCACTTCCTTCGCCTCATCCATCGCCACTGCATAGCTCCGGGCTCCTGCAGCCACCGCCCCCTCCTCCTCCCCCACCAGCCCTGGTCCCAGGCTACAATGGGACTTCCAATCTCTCCAGCTACAGCTATCCCTCTGCTAGCTATCCTCCTCAGACTGCCGTGGGGTCTGGGTACAGCCCTGGTGGAGCGCCCCCACCTCCTTCTGCATACCTGCCTTCAGGAATTCCTGCCCCCACTCCTCTGCCCCCCACTACCGTTCCTGGCTACACCTACCAGGGTCATGGTTTGACGCCCATCGCGCCCTCTACTCTGGCCAACAGCTCGGCAAGTTCTCTCAAAAGGAAAGCTTTCTATATGGCAGGGCAAGGAGACATGGACTCCAGCTACGGAAATTACAGCTATGGCCAACAGAGATCGACACAGAGTCCTATGTACCGAATGCCCGACAACAGCATTTCAAACGCGAATCGGGGGAATGGCTTTGACAGAAATGCTGAGACATCATCCTTAGCGTTTAAGCCAACAAAGCAGCTGATGTCCTCTGAACAGCAAAGGAAATTCAGCAGTCAGTCCAGTAGGGCTCTGACCCCTCCTTCCTACAGTACTGCTAAAAATTCACTGGGATCAAGATCCAGTGAATCCTTTGGGAAGTACACGTCGCCAGTCCTGAGTGAGCACGGGGAAGACCCTAGGCAGCTCCTCGCTCATCCAATGCAAGGTCCGGGACTCCGTGCAGCTACCTCATCGAATCACTCTGTGGACGAGCAACTGAAGAACACTGACACGCACCTCATTGACCTAGTCACCAATGAGATCATCACCCAAGGACCTCCCGTGGACTGGAGTGACATAGCTGGTCTCGACCTGGTGAAGGCTGTCATTAAGGAGGAGGTTTTGTGGCCAGTGTTGAGGTCCGATGCGTTCAGCGGGCTGACGGCCTTGCCTAGGAGCATCCTTCTCTTTGGACCTCGGGGAACAGGCAAAACACTCCTGGGCAGATGCATAGCTAGTCAGCTGGGGGCCACGTTTTTCAAAATTGCTGGTTCCGGACTAGTTGCGAAGTGGTTAGGCGAAGCGGAGAAAATTATTCATGCCTCTTTTCTTGTGGCCAGGTGTCGCCAGCCCTCGGTGATTTTTGTTAGTGACATTGACATGCTTCTCTCCTCTCAAGTGAGCGAGGAACAAAGTCCGGTCAGTCGGATGAGAACCGAGTTTCTGATGCAGCTGGACACTGTACTAACTTCGGCTGAGGACCAAATCGTAGTCATTTGTGCCACCAGTAAACCCGAAGAAATAGATGAATCTCTTCGCAGGTACTTCATGAAAAGACTTTTAATCCCACTTCCTGACAGCACAGGGAGGCACCAGATAATAGTACAACTGCTCTCACAGCACAATTACTGTCTCAATGACAAGGAGTTTGCACTGCTCGTCCAGCGTACGGAAGGCTTTTCTGGACTCGACGTGGCTCATTTGTGTCAGGAAGCAGCGGTGGGCCCTCTCCACGCTATTCCAGCCACAGACCTTTCGGCCATTATGCCCAGCCAGTTGAGGCCCGTTACGTATCAAGACTTTGAAAATGCTTTCTGCAAGATCCAGCCCAGCATAACTCAGAAAGAGCTTGATATGTATGTTGAATGGAACAAAATGTTTGGTTGCAGTCAGTGATTCGGTCTTTCAAAGTTAAAAACAAGAACAACAACAACAACAACAACACCAAAATGTAATGAATGTTGGCACACACACACACACACATAAAACCTGCTACATAGGGAACAGAGCCCCTTTCCAGTAGTGTTTCAATTGCAGAGGGTACTGGGGAACACGATGATCGCGTTGCGTCTGTAGAGGCAGGGTAGCTTTGGAGGAAACGTGCATCAGATGAGAGCCTCTGATTGGAAAGCCCCAGATGACAGAGAGCGTATCCATGTGGATGCTCGGATCGGTTCCAGCGAGACCACACTCACCGAGATGCAAGGTGCAAGTGTGTTGATTTCAGAAGGACATGAACCTCGTGTGTTGATTCCATTCTGCTGTTCTCGAGATTTAGTTGCTGTCAAGTGCCTGGAGTGGTGCTTTATTTTTTCGTTTGCCTCACAATTACATTGGTGGCATGTGCTAATATAAAGAGCTTTAACTTCAAACATTATCGGACTAAAGAGATGAACGGTCGTGTTACAACAGAAAACCAGATATTTTGCCATTTTAAGAGCAACAGTATTCCTCAATCCTGTCTGTTCTGCAGTGTTAAGCTAAGAACAGGTAACACAGGGTAACGGTAATCTGGACCTTAATTTCTGCAGTTCATTTCTTTTAATGTTCTTGTCTGCAAAAACTCAGGAAAGTGATTGTGATTTGTCCAGTACCTCAAAGGAATGTGTTAAAAGCACTATGTACTGCTGAGAGTAATAGGCTAGGCTTCGATGTTACTTTATATTAAAATGTATGTTTACCTCAACAATTGGAGAATAGCAAGGAAAATTACTTTGAATGTATCCGGAAAAATTACTGAAGTGTGATACAACTGAATATTTACCATTGAAAGTAGAAATGGAAGTTTTTTTTTTTTTTTTTTTTTTTTTTTTTAAGTTCTCTTACAAAATATGGGGAAGTAACCAGAGCAGAACAATTATTGAAGGGTTCTTAATACATTGCTCTCCTTGATGATTAGGTGAAAATGTTCATAAGAGTTACACTGGTTAATTGAAGGCTTATGTATTCAGTTTGCGTTGGTGTTTAGAGCAGTCAGCCGCAGATCTATCTAGGACTCTGGAAGTGACAGAACGTAGAAACGTAACTGCCTTTTCCTGCTATGGGAGAGGTGGTGGAGGTAGTGGAGGTTTTAATTTGGAAGCTCTCTCTCTCTCTCTTACACTGTTGGGAATGGGTGTCGCCATTCTAGTCACTGAGAGTTTCTAGGCTTGCCATGCCATGTCACAGAATGCAGAGGATAGAACCAAATCAAACACACAAGAAGAAGAAAAAAAAAATTAACCAACTCTACATCTCCACAGAGAACCTCTCCATGTCCTCCTCCCTCGTCCCTCATCTTGACTTCACTCTTCACAGTGCATGTTGGCTTCTCATCTTGAAACCCCCCGGCTGTAGTTCTCCCTCGTTCATTTCTACCTCGGTTTCTTTAAGTTTCTTTTGGAAAGTCCAGTAAGAAGTTAGACATGGACATGTCGACCACAGTAGAGCTTGCCGAATGTGGGACTTTTCTGTTTTGTCGTGCCGTTGTGTTGTGCATTCTTCCATCTTTTTCTTTTCTTTTTGCCATAATCTAGTTTCCCAAAGCACTAGTTTTTCATGCCTTCCTACACTGCTGAACACTACCGCACGGCATATGTGGCGTTTCTCTCTCCATCCCCACCTCTGCTCCTGCCTCCCACCAGGTCGTCCTTTGTCTCCTGTAATGTGTTGTGTGCAGGTTTTCATGGGAAGCTGGCTGATGTTCATCACTGCCTCTCACAGTCACAGCGCATGACAGAGCTTTCCCCGGCATTCCCTGTGCCGAAGCAGAACAGCCAAGCGTTTTGAATGTATTTTCCTGGGTTTTGCCCCTCTTTTTTTTTTTTTTTTTACTTTTTTCTTTTTGTTCGTTTTTTTGTTTTGTTTTAAATAGTGATGCAGTAACTGTTGCAAAGCACTGGCATTTTGTGTATTCAATAAGTGATGTAATTTTAAGGTAATTTTAAATAAATTCAATGGCAGCCCCATGAAAGGCCTTTCTGTTATTTTTTCCCTTCAAAAAAAGGTTTTTTTTTTCTAGCTCATCTGTAAATTATTTCTCTGAAATATTAACCCAGAGAAAATAAATGAGGACCTCATGGTATTTCAAAATTTTATGATGTCTGATTAGTAATACTCCTCTTGCCGGTAGTGGTGGCGCACGCCGGTAGGATTTGCTGAAGTAATACTCCTCTTTATTTTTCATGTTGCTAAAACGGAGCAAATGAACTAGAATTTAATCTACTCTGAAAGTCTATCAATGAACACTGTTCTTAAATATAAATATTCCATAACTGAAAAGCAGTGCCTTTCTTTAAGGATACAAAAAATAATAACGAGTCTAAGATACTTCTGCTTTTTACAAATGAATAAATGTTAGAGTCCTATTCTGGAACTCCCCTGAGCACTGCCCATGCTAAGGAGATTGTAATATTCACTGACTCGCGGGCCCATATTGATCTCAGTCACAAGTTAGCTTTCCCGCACAGCACTGATCTCTCCTCTGTTTTTAAGACTTCACAACTCATTTCCACCAATAGGCTGTGTTCACTAAAACACATCTGGCAAGCTGTGACAAACCCAGTCTTCTTTACTCAAGTTTCAAGAATCCAATATCATCCCACGTTTTGTGGTGTGTGGTTTGCGAGACTTAATGCCAAATACATGAGATGACAATTGTTTTTTATGTTGTTGTTGTTCTCACAATGGTGATAATGAGCAGAAGTCATACTTGTTGGCTTTCAGCTTTAAGTGGCTTTAAATCTGTTTGAGATGTGAATGACTTGAGATTAGTTTGAGAGAGAAATGGTCTGAGATACATATATTTAGCAGAAGCTGAAATTACATGTGATTTCCACTTAGCCGAGGCAGGTCTAGGATCATGTTAGCAAACTGGGAAAGTTGACTGTCTCACCATCTACTCTAGTTTTTGATTCCATGTGACATTGTTATAAAGGCTTCCATGGACTAGCCTAATCAGGACCCCTTTTCTGGCCTTTGAAGAGCTTGGTGTAGAACAAGTTCCAGATCTTCAGAAGTGGACATGTGCATTGAGTCCTAGGACAGCTGAGTAAATGGGCCTCCTACTCTTGGCCTCTCTTGAACAGTTTAGAACTTGGAGGAGGATCCTAATGAGTGTAAGGTAATGAACCAGTCAATCCGCTCCTATCCAGGGAGGAGATCCAACCAGCCTTCTTGACAACCCTTAGCTCCCTTCCACACAACTGTAATAACATTTCCCACAGGGATGAGAAGGAAACTACATCCGTAGAAAGATCAATAGAAATTCACGAGGTAGTTCATAGTGACTTTAGATGGGATACAAGTGAAAATCCTTTACTCTGGCAGCCTGCTTCCCTCCAAAATATTTAGAACATTAGTGACGGTATGCAGAACTGTGCTGACTGAGCTGGTCAATGACATGTGAAGGCAGTGGAAGTTAAGGCTATTTACTTTCACACAGAATGTTTATCTATTAGTCAGTTTGCATTCGACTCAAATGCAGATAGACGGGTATAATGTTTTCTTGTGCATTTGAAACCTATCAAGGAGAAAATAAACCATTCCACTGAAATACATAGGCCAAACACCATCTGGACAACTGATAAAAGCTATCCAGAGGCTATACTAAATGCAAGGTCAATTTTCATGGGTTGCTGAGTTCTTGGCTATGCAGTTTTGAAAAGAATACATCAAAAAAAAAAGTCCAAATTAATTCTTGCAATAGGTCATTGTAAATTTAAATATATCTCTGAGTTGGGAAAGATGTTTTGGAGGCATTTAGAATCTCTTTCTCTGAAAATATATCCAACCCCTAAGCAGAAAGATATTTCTGTACCCCAACTCTCTCCTTTTTCTTAGCAAGAATTGGGAATCCTGATATAAATCCATATTACAGAGTGAAAGGCACATAGTTTATTGAACTATTGAAGCCACTAAAGTTCTAATATATATATAAATATAAATGTAAGTATAATTAGTGTGTGTGCGTGTATGTGTGTGCTATTTCCACCGCCACCTATTTTAACTTTAAAACAAATCAATTTTTCACATTATCCAGAAGCAACTGGTTTCTTCTTTTTTCCTATGTGCCAAAACACACATCACTACTTCAAAATTCCATTTTAATGTGACTTTTTTCCTTAAGAGAAGTAAAAAACTTTCTGTTTTGAATCATCGGTCGACTTAATGAAGCATTGTATTGGCAAACATGGAGCTGTTAGTATTTCAGAATTCACAGCCAGCTGTACTTGTGACTAACCAACACATGAACTGAAGCTCACAGTCTGCTAAGACCTTTGGTTGACATTCGATTTTGAACCTGCCAGATGCATTTGTGTGAACCAGGGATACTGCATCTTTAATGAAGAAGTCTCTCCTCTTTCCCCTGTTTTTAAATACAACACAAGTAGTGTAGCACTCGGCACTGCAATTGTCAAAGACAATTAGACTGAGAGCGGGAAAATTTCACCTCCCTGTCTCAGTGATATGTAGAATGTCGGCAATGTGGGGCAGCCTTGCCACCGAGTGCTGTGAGGAGATATGAATCAGGCCTATAGAATGTTAAATATTTATAAAATGGTTTTGTAGTGCACCAAGGTTGGGAGCACATTCATTCCTTCTTTTTGTCTTATGATACAAAAGAAAAAAAAGTTTATTTCTAGGCTTATTCTTCTCTCTCTCTCTCTCTCTCTCTCTCTCTCTCTCTCTCTCTCTCTCTCTCTCTCTCTCTTTCCTTCTCTTCTACCTTCCCTCTCTTTTTCCCCTGTGTGGGTCTGTGTATGAGTGCGTTTTCCTTGTGAATTACATACAGTTGCTAGAGAATATTCATTTCTTTGTTTTTTTTTTCCTTTTTTTCATCTGACTCTATTCAGACATTGTTCTTTATAACCATTTCTACCTCATTGCTACATATTGTACATGTAGTATTTATTTGTTGTCTTTTTTTGAATGTCATGCATTTCGTAAGAAAAAGACTAGTCCTTGAACTTGAACAGTCTACCTCAGAAAGACTGTCCTTACACTGAACAGTATTAGCAAACTAAAGGATAAGAGGCATTAGCAAAGTTTGCCGGGGTGGACAATGCATGAGGACTTGGGATCCTGATGGACTTTTAAGGGTAGTCCCAAACCAAGACTGCTTAAAGGAACTCTAAAGAAACTGTGCACTGTGTAGGTCTTC